TTTACTATTGTAACTTCACTGACTTTATAGCCTATAAGTCAAATCAGAGTCAGACCCTGAGAAAGGAGTGGTGGCTCCTTGTATATATATGTGCTTCAAGTGGCAGTGCTGTCGTGCCAGCATCTTTCACCAACGTTACATTTGGAAGGATTAAAATTTAAAGGAACCAAAATATCTTCTTCAATGCACTCCCATAAGACATACATAAAAAGCATTAGCACAAAAATGTTTTCCCTGACTCAGATCAGAAAAGAATTTCCCCCCCTTTAAAAAAAAAGACTAGCAGATCACAGGTATCTTTTCCCCCTTCAGTTCATTCTCATGCCTTTAATCCATCAAAGGCAATCCCTGACAAGAACCAGTCTTCGTTAACTGGAAGCAGTAATGAGTTGTAGCATCAATATATCTAAAAAGCAATCACATCTTGTCCTAAAAGAGAAAGCATTAGGCCAAGACAATGAGACTCCTAAAGACCTGTGGTACATCTTTGTGCCTTCTATTAGCCCAGTCCTCTTCCATCATCCACAAGATTTAAATTCACTGCACTGGTTTTGAAACTGATGTTGAGCTGTTGTAATCTGTACACATTGTAATCTGGATGCAGTGCTCCAATAAAGTCTAAGAAACATCCCATAGGGTGTCTGTGAGAAAAGAAAGAACGCAGCTATTTTGCAAGTGGACCCAATATGAAATATTAAAGGTTGCTTACTCTTGACATGGTGTGCTTGTACTTAGCACACCAGACATTAGCATCAGGATGTTCAATTTGTGGTACCAAGAAAACACTGGTTAAAAACCACCAAAATAGTGTGTCTGGCCAATTTACAAATCTGAGATGCTCAGAGAGTTGGCAATGGTTCCAGTTCATTGCACTGACAAGATGTCTTACTTCACTTTGGACTTAAACAGTGTCATTTCTATTCCCTGAGCACAACTCTTCGTGTCATTGCCAAATATATCTCTGTGGCCAAGTGAAAAAAACAGAATGTTTAGATGTATCAAAATTTAAAGGATTGTAGAAAGAGTGAGATTCTTTCACTTCTGCATCCAGTGAAGTTCAACAGAAAATGGAAGATTCACCCATTTATCTGATTCTTCACTGACCCAATTAATGTGGTCATTTACACCTGTGAAGAGTGGCTGCAAAACACTACCTAGTCAGAACTCTGTATACAGGGACACCACTGGTAGCATGTTGTACCTTCTTTGCACAGGTGTCAGTGTGTACGTAAGGGGGGAGGATGGTGCCAGTGGGGGAGGAGGGCAGCTGACTTTCCCCATGTTTTTCCATTGTGGAGTGGGGAAGAGGGATCTTGGGCACATGATTTGTCTCAGAGGCAGGAACAGCATTAAGACTTCATGAAACCTCACCCCATTTCTCTATGCCCACAGGATATGTGGTGGGCGGCTTCCCACCCCATGAGGACATTATAATACCCCATGGCAAGACACAGATGAGGGACAAAATCCATGTCAAATAGTCCCTCCAACTGATTTCAGTTTCCAACAGCAGCACCCAGACTTTTTCACCCCAATCACTAGGTCTGCCAGTAACTGCATAGGGTACCAAGTCCCAGCTAGTTCATCCATCTTAGAGACAAATATTTTAAGATGTGCAGCTCCCATCCATATCAAACAGGTGTTCCCCAGCTTTGATAGTATAGGTGGAGAGCAGCACCAGAGTGGAGGAGACAGGGCTGTTCTCTTGGACATCACTTGATTTAAAGACAAGACACCAAGACTGTGCTTTAACCGGGCTGCAACTTTATTAACTTAACAGATCTGGGAAACTATCTGGCAACGTTCATCCAGTACAGGCCATTCTTCCTCTAGTAATCTGTACCACCTGGGAGAGGGCTGCCCACAGCATCATCCTACCCCCACTCCATCCTCCAAATCCTTGACCTGGTCCCAGCACCACTATTGTGACCCTTCTGGCCCTTCCTTCAGACCAGGGTTGAGGGCATGGAGAAAAGGAGGTGACCCCTTGCTGTACCAGACAATAAGATCCCCCCCCTGCTTGCCCTCACTTTCTTGTAGGGAAGCCCTCCCCCAATCAGATTCCAACTACAGGTTTTCAAGGAGCTGGAGCCCCTGGTAAAGGAGAGCCTGTATGAGAAACCTGCCAAGCTGCAACAGCATAAACACCTTGATAACCCACATACCCACTGGGCTGCTGAAACCCTCCCCAGCTCCCAGGCGAATCTGGCAGTGAGGGGTAAATTCCTTCCCAGCTCCAAAAGGCAAGCAGTGTCTCACCCACAACATGCCCAGTCCTATTCTAACCCATGGCAGATGATGGGCATCTACCACAGCCTGGCCGGTCAGCCACATGGCTAGGGTACACACAGTCTGCCATAGGGAAACCCTCATGAGGATGCTGAGAGCCAGTGGGTGTCATAAACCCTTAAAGGGCCTCAGATGTTTCTTTCCCTGATATCCCAGAAAACCCCCCACCATTGCTGAGGCTGCAAAGGGGACATTTAAATCAACCCCCAACCATGCCTGCACTTCCCACCCTCCCAGTACACACTTGCTGCCCCCATTGAGTTTTCTCCAGCTGGCATCTGTGAAACAGAAAATAAAGTAAATGACTAACAAACACTAAATATAATGAGATTCTGTGTCCCTGCTGAGTTTTAGCCAATTGTCTTTGAATGACGCATATAGTTATTATTAGTTAGACAAGACTTTTTTAAGCTGTCCTCACTTATATACTAACATACTATAATAATTACCACAGATGAACTTCCAGATGAGTTGGTATGTCCCTCTTTGCATGCTCTGGTAGATAACTTTCGCAAGCACAAATGAACAACACAACAAGTGCTGAAGAGCTTTAAAAACAAAATATTTGTATTACATGAGATGTAGGCTTGTGTTCCCCAGAAAAATTAACGCCACAGGACAAATTAACAACCTTTTCACAGCACCTAAAATCCACATAAATAAAGAACATTTATGATCTCCCACAATTATGTCCCTCTATTGGAACACTAAATCTATGACCATATATGCCATTCTATTAGCTAGGAAGTGTGATATTGATGACCAATCTGTGGCAGACAATGCTCTTGCATTACTAAGATACATCATCTCACACGTACAGCACAAACACTGTGTATAAAAACATTTCTGCTGATGAATGTTTTTGAATGAATACTTGGAGAGCAGAACTCAAAACTTTCTCATAAATAAAGTGGAGTCGTTGACTCTTCCCCCCGCCCTCCCGAGTAATACTATTATAGTTAAAAATTGTAACAAAGTAGTTGCAAAGATTATACAAAGTGTGGTTCAAATCCTGCAGTCCTTTGCTTCAATGAGAGTTTGGACTGAACAAGGATTAGAGGTTTTTGCCCTTGATTTTTTTTTTTAAACATACACCCTCCCTATCATAAAAAGCAACAGAGGGTCCCGTGGCACCTTTGAGACTAACAGAAGTATAGGGAGCATAAGCTTTCGTGGGTAAGAACCTCACTTCTTCATTTCAATGTACAGAAGTCTAGGTAAGGTCAAACAATGTCATGGCATTGATTTCTTTTTCCATGGGCAGTTGAATGAATGAAAGTTGTACAAAGGACTCTGCTAATTATAGCTTGTGGCAATCTGACTCAACAAAAAAAATCACATCAATTTTGAAGCATTTGCAAATGCAAAGTAATGCACACTGGAAAACATAATACCAACTATACATATAAAAATAATGGAGTCTAAATTAGCTGTTACCACTCAAGAAAAACCTTAGAGTCATTGTGAATAGTTCTCTGAAAACATCTACTCAATGTGCAGCAGCAGTAAAAAAATCAAACAATGCTGGGACTTATTAAGAAAGGGATAGATAGTAAAACAGAAAATATCATTTTGCCTCTATATACATCCATGGTACTCCCACATCTTGAATACTGCATGCAGATGTGGTCGCCCCATCTCAGAAAAGACATATTGGAATTGTAAAAGGTTCAGAAAAGGGCAACAAAAATGATTAGGGGTATGGAACAGCTGCCATATGAGGAGAGATTAATAAAAGTGGGACTTTTCAGCTTGGAAAAGAGATGACTAAAGGGGAGGATATGACAGAGCAGGGGTCGGCAATCTCTGGCACGCAGCTCGCCAGGGTAAGCACCCTGGCGGGCCAAGCCAGTTTGTTTACCTGCCGTGTCGGCAGGTTCGGCTGATCGTGGCTCCCACAGGCCGCGGTTCGTCGCTCCAGGCCAATGGGGGCTGTGGGAAGCGGCGCGGACCAAGGGATGTGCTGGCTGCAGCTTCCCGCCGCCCCCATTGGCCTGGAGCGGCGGACTGTGGCCAGTGGGAGCTGCGATCGACCAAACCTGCCGACGCGGCAGGTAAACAAACTGGCCCGGCCCACTAGGGTGCTTACCCTGGCGAGCTGTGTGCCAGAGGTTGCCGACCCCCATGATAGAGGTCTTTAAAATCATGACTGGTGTGGAGAAAATAAATAAGGAAATGTTATTTACTCCTTCTCATAACACAAGAACTAGGGGCCACCAAATGAAATTAATAGGCAGCAGGAACAAACAAAAGGAAGTATTTTTTCCACACAACGCATAGTCAATCTGTGGAACTCCTTGCCAGGCTATTAGCCAGGATGGGCAGGGATGGTGTCCCTAGCCTCTGTTTGCTAGAAGCTGGGAACGGGCGACAGGGGCTGGATCACTTGATGATTACCTGTTCTGTTCATTCCCTCTGCAGCACCTGGCATTGGCCACTGTTGGAAGACAGGATATTGGGCTAGATGGACCTTTGGTCTGACCCAGTATGGCTGTTCTTATAATACAGTGCTTACCGTAGTACATAACTCTTTAAACATCACACGTTTGTCATGGATAGGGCTTAGGTTTCATTGGCCGTGCCCCAGCATCCCCACCAAAACAAAATGTAGGTAGATTTGATTCAAACCTGTTAAATTGCGCAAAGAATCTGCAGGAGAGTTCTTCCTCTATTCCCATTGGCCATCTGTATTAATTGTACTTTATTGATAGGGCCATCTCAAAACGTGGCCCCTGCATCCACTACACTTCTCTCAATTCCAGTATGGAACAGTGGAAGTTACAGGCACATTCCTACTGAATTCAGGTGTGGACTGAACTGGACCTATGCTTAAGGTAAGGTACCTCGATGGAAAGAAGTACAAAAATGCTGAACAGCAAGTTTATAATATCAGCACAGAAATAGCCTGTTAGTAAGAGAGACTCACAAATGTCAGGGTTAGCTTTCCAAAAAGTAAATTTGTAAAAGAAAGTGGGACAGGGAGGTTGGACCAAAACTGCCTCTATTGAACTTTTTAGCTGCTTGCCCCTGAGGTTTGGTGTTTGATTTCTCATGCTTGGAAGGCAAGATGATGGACTTTTACATTTCCCTCTGAGAATCTGTAGCCCTGACGTATTTCAGCAGCAGCTGCCCTCATCAGGGAGTGCTGTTTGCTGCTGTGAGGTAATTCCTGTCAGAGCCAGGGGTAAAACCTTGGTGAAGAGTGACATCCCAGCAGCAGCACCCATTTGTGCATTAACAAGGTGGAATGAGGGGACAAATCCCCCTAAGCTGTTACCACTCCACAGCACTAGTTTCTCAGGATTAAAGTAAGGGAGAGCTGGGGAAATGCAGCTCCCCAGACCCCCTTTCCAAGATCCATCTCAATGGAATTTAAAGGGAACATGATCAGGCTGATTTTCCTCTCACACTAGCAGTTTTGTGTCCAGTGCTTAAGACAGACAGGAGTCAGAAGAGCTGCCACAAATCTACAAGCCAACGTTTCACTACAGCGTGACCTGTAAATGTTCAGGGAAGGACAGTTTCTTCTTAGTATCACTTTAGTAGACATCAGAATACCGGAGAGTGGGTGTGGGGAGCAGGAGAGTGGTGATAATTCACTAAATGGTTACTATAAATGTCCTGTTTAAAGGAGATCCTTTTTCAGTGGTAATCACTATGCAATTTTAACTGCCACAACTCCATGAACCTGAACAGAGCCATGCTGGTTTATATCAACGAGGGATCTAGCCCCAGGTCTGTAAATATGGGAGGTAAATTCCCAAATAAGAGACGATCCCTTTATGCATAAGGAAGATGGATAGAATGACATTTCTAAGCCCTTGTCCCTGTTCCACTGTCAAAAAGAGAAAACATTTGCACATGATGTAACTTTAATTGTTCATGGCATTCAGAGTTGGAACTCCAAGTGCTAATTATGTTAATGAGAAGGAAAGGCTTTCCTGGAAATAAACTACTTTTTGTTGTTGTTTGTTCATCGCTTTATTTCAGAAGATCATTTCTGATTTCTATTCAGATGCTGCAACCATAATTTACAGCTGTCCTTGAGAAAACTGCTGTAGCAAAGATACTTTTTCTTTTTAATTGTTTTTAAAAGCAATGGATTTTTGTCTTTTCAATTCTTTGATAACTGCACTCACAGAGCTTTTCCCAGGGAAGGAAAAAGTGACTCACCAGCCGCAATATATGTCCACCCTGGGAAAAGATGCTGGAATTTGCCATTGCAACAGATATGATGGAAATGAAGTGCCTGTCCACAGAGACCTCACTATTGGGCTGAACTATCACAACCCCATTTAAATTCTTAATTGCACACTGAGCAGGAGAAGGTGGAGTAGATCCAGAGGGATCTGCAAAGAAAGTAGATTCTTAGACTGAGCTTGCTGTAGATGAACACTCCTCTGCTCTACACATTTTGAGTGTAAGAAGCAGGTCTATGATCAAAGCTACCCTCATAGGGAAGTCTCCTTGAAGACTGAAGACCCAATTCTCCTCTCACTCACATCAGTGGAATAGCCCAATCCAACTCTCATTGAGAATGGGAGTTTGATATACTCCTATGGCCTGCACTGGTGTAGTAACCTCCAAATCATAAATGGATTTCATCCTCAGAGCGCTCCATGAGGTGGGGGCAATTTTATCCCATTTTCCAATTGCAGAATTGGGAAATACGATAGATTAAGTGACTTGCCCAAGGTCACACAGGAAGTCAGTGGCTGGGAAATGAATTGCGATCTCTTTGGCCCAACCCAATCTGTTAGTCACTAGAGTAGCCTTAATATCCAAAGGATCAGCTTGTATATCAGGATTAACTTCAGTGAAGTCTATGGTGTAAAACTGATGGAAGCAGGACAAATCAGACCTTTAGGAATCTTTAGATTAAGGCTTTAAGAAATATACTTAGGAGGGATGTTGTTACCACAGTGCCTCCTGCTTTATCAGTGGACAAATTGAATTCAGATTTTTTGGCCTTTTGTATTAACTATAGCCAATCAAAACAGAAGGTGGAAGTATTATTTTTAATAAGTGATTTGGTTCCTGAGGTTTTGATTAAATTTAAAAGGAAGATCAAATTAACTGGTGATTGAATAAAAGCAAGATGCTGTAACTTGTAACTGTAGTTCATTAAATCTGAATTCTGAAATGAATACATTAATATGAGATGGATGTGGAAAAGTACTGAGAGACACAGATGAGGAACAATGACAGTTTTGCTCTACTTGCTCCTTTTAATTTGAATTGCATCTCTAGAGTGTACTGAATTGTGTTTTCTTTTCTTCTTTTTCTCTTTAGATGTACCAGCTGAAAAATCAGATAACAACCAGATCAATGAATCAATAGATGGTATTTTCTTCTTGTACCTACTCTGCATTAAGCATAAGAGAAACCTGCCTTGCAGTGAGCGGAGTTCACCAAAGGTTGTGATAATGAACACACAAATATGAAATACAGAGCACCTAGGAATTCTCAGAGGTTTTGTTCCATTTCACCATTTTTATTGTTGTGTGTGTGTTGTGAGCATGTGCAATTAAAAGAACATTTACAATGTTCATGCACAAGGACAATTCATTTCTAAGAATACAGTAATCATGGGTGCACAGGTTAATCTAAAGATAACTCACTGCTTTCTTTTGGTTATATTCTGGTCAACTTAAAACCCTCTACAATGGATGTTAAGGGCCTGATCCCCAGCTGGTATAAATCAGTGTAGCTTCACTGAATTCAGCAGAGCTATCCTGATTTACACCATTTGAGGACTAATTGAGGCCCTAAAGTTTTGTGGGTTTTCATCAATGAGCTAAATTGTACTCTCGGTTATACCATTGCAGCTGCACTGACTTCAGTGGGGAGACATCAGCATAAATGAAAGCAGAATTGTCCAAATTCTATTCTGCTGGCTATATTTTGATTATTCCAGTGTAACTCATAATAGCTCCTTTGATGTTGATGGTACTTCTCTGGATTTACACCAGTGCAAATGACAGCAAAATTAATTCAGTGTGTTCTCATCATTTGCTGTCTGAAGATCATAGTAGCTTATCCTACACTGGACTATAGTAAGTGACTTCTTGTGCAATGGAATTAATTGCTAAAAGGATGCTGAAGAGAAGTGTGTTCAGAAAGCTTTCCCCACAAATGTACTTTAGAAACATGCGTGAGTGCACATGTGGGGGAAGGGTATTTTTAGCGGGGTAGATATTTTTGTATATAACAATATTTAAGGAATGACCTCAGAGAAAAGTGAATCTTCTCTATCAATTGTCTAAATAATGAGCTAGCTAAATAATGATCTTTCCCTTTTGACTGCTATCACAAACACTGAAAAGAAGAGGGCCAGTCTATTGCCTTTTGGGCCCTCTACAGAAAATATTTTATTGTATAGGCCTGGACTTATACAATACTGGGACCTAATGACTGCATTGGTGAATTTAATTACAACTATCATTTAGAGTGTTAGACATGAAAAGCTGTGTGTGTATATATATATACACTGCCCCTTCCTATATAAGCTACCTTGTTGATGAATACCTTGTACTCTTTGTACCTGTCTCTCCTGCGTTTGGAGTTGCAGCAATTATATCTCCAAGAACTGCAGTGCTGATATGGCTTCAGGAACGGCAGTGATAAGGGTGGTATTCCTCCTCTGGAAAAGGCTGTATGGGCAGATTACTGCAAATCTGAACATATAGTGGAGCTGACAGAAATGTAAGATAGATAAGATGGCTGAGGAGTGGTTGGTCATTCAAAGGACACTCTGCTGTTGGTTTCCCTCACGTTACTTAGAATGCTAGTGTTATACTATTGGCTAGTAGTGTGGCATAGCAGCGGCTAGTCTCATTTCCCTTCTCTGGAAGTGGTTTAAAAAAGAGTTTTCTCCCTTCCAGTTTTTAACCAGTGCATGAGTCTGCTCCATGACTGATAGAGATTCACAGATGTAGTGGTGCTGGTGTAGAGAGCAGGATTTGTGGAACTTGTAGAAGACATACAAATTCACTATGGAGCCCAGTTTCATGGGGAGTCCCTAGCTGTAATGTTCAATGGGCATTTGGGTTGGGCAGACTGGGAGGAATAGTGGTGGTGGGACTGGATGGAGAAGCTGGGACAGGACCAGCAAATTTGAAGCTATATAGATTACCCATTACCCCAGGCCTGCAATATCAGCTACAGAGCTGTCTGGCGGGAGCATTCCAACCCCTCTTCCCCCACCCACAGAAAAAATTTGTACGTGGCCCAGCCACTCAGCTGGTGTGCCAAGTACAGAATTTGGGTCCAAACACATTTAATAGAAGGATCCAAATCTTAAAAAAATCCTAAAACCTTGTAATCTTAATGGATTTACACTAGTTTGCCTGCAACACAGTACATGTTTTCTCCATTAAAGAAGAAGAATTCTTCATAAGCCTGAGACGATACCTACTTACTCTGCCCACTGTAGCCTGCTTCTCTGTCAGTGCTTTCCTGCACAATATAATCTCACTATGGAAAATGTGAAAGATACGCAAAACCTGTGGCTAGCCTGAGACACGCAGAAACACTCTGACCTGGATCTAGGAGTAATGCTTAGCTCAAGCAGGTGGCTCCAGATCATTACAACACCATGTTTTGATGCTTCAGTGGCTTTAGTAACAATAAAATCCCATCAGGGTCTATATTAATAGGCACAAAACTGGAACAATCTCATATCCATACACTGGAATCTTGTGATCAACTTGGTCAGCAAAACTTAGTAGCTTGAACTAGGCATGTGAGAAGTCAGTTATAGAAAACCGATTCAGAGAAGCAGATGGTCAGATAAAAGCAAAAACAGAAGAAATTATAGGGGCTCTGTTTGCTTCACTAAATTACATTCTGTATTTTTAAGAAAAGGTCAGTGATCAGCAAGAATGCAGCCTTTCCTTTATCCTTTACAAGAGCCTGCCTTAGGCTTACAAAAAACAATAATGGCACCAAGAGCTATTGGGTTCTGATCCTGCCAGACTGTGTGCTGTGCTCTCACTGTCTCTAGTGGGAGTTCTGTGCTTGGAGTCTTGCAGTATTGAGACTGATTATTACTATTTGTCAGCTAAATAGAGAGGGGCTCATTTGGAGGGGACGAGAGAAGAGTAAGACAAATTGGGTTGTGGTGAAGGAGCAAAACAAAGCATAAAAGGCAAGGTAAAAACTGAGTTAATAAGTAGAACTTGGAGGAAAAGCCTAATGTTGAAAGACAGACCCCAGGAACATTTAGAAAAGAAAGATTGCAACAAACTTTAGAGAGACATTTGATGAGAGACTGAAAATTCAGTTCCAAATGTTCGGGAGGTTGTTAGGAGGAGTAATATTAAGAGCTATTATAAGTGTAATGGCATGTAATATAGTTTAAGTAACTAGGGAAGCATTAAATGAGCTGAGAATGTTGATCTGTGGCTGTGGGACTTCAATACCTTTAACAGAGTTTATCACTGAATTTCATTTATTGCTATCAGAGGAAATGCTCACGCTGGAGAACTTGAAATGAATTGAGATAATTGATCATCCAGGGAAGTGTCTAAATGCTTTTAAAGAAAACTTTGGAATAGCAATTTTAAATGAACAAAAAAAATTAATGTTAAAGCCTATTTAGGGAATATTGGAAGTTAAAACGACATTGTCAAACCTTTAGGCAAGACATGTACACTGCTTGGACTTACGTGGTCCTAAATCCAGTAGAAGGACGTGATTTTTAAAATCAACCCTTCTAATGCAGCTTCTTTTTCCACCACAAAGTGGCATCTGCACAGCCACACTGGCCAGTACAACAGCACACCTAGGAATAAATTCACTAGTGGTGCAAGTGCCTGCAGGTCATCTAAAACTGAGACTGCATGTGCATTTTAGTTGTGGCTTCTTATTTTTGGGGCTTACAGTAATGCCCACTGTAGTAGGCATAGCAGCAGAGGATCCCTGCCCCAAGGTCTTATAGTCTAATAGATAAGACTGACAAAGGAAATATTGTCACCCTCATTTTAAAGAGGAGGAATGGAAAGATTATGCAATATGACCAGGTCCAACAGTAAGTCTCTGGGGGAAACCAGGAACCCAGATATCCCAAGTCCCATTCCAGTGCTCTCCAAGCCAAGGCCAACCTGTCTGCTGCTTCTCCTGCTTTCCACCCATAATTAACATGTTCCTGCTCACTGGAATCATCTCGTCAAGCACAGAGGTGACCTAAGGATTTTGGATAGTGCTAACGATACGAGTCTGTGGGATGCACCACAAACATGACTGACTCAGTTTACACAAGGAACGTGGCAAAGAGAACAGTGGAAGGGCCTTCAGGGTTTCCCACCTCCAGGCTCCTGCTGGAGAAGTGAAGCCCAGCTACATGCTGCTTTCATCCTAGTGATCAGTTTACATTTCCACAAGAAAAGGGACTAGAGATTGATTTAAAAAGCTGAGATTCTCCTTTACATTTTTAATTCCCACAAAACCCAGAGCCACATGCGTCATGGGGCCCAAAGGGCAGCTCTGCTTAAGCTGGCAGAAATGATAATAGAGTTCCTTGGAGATAGAAGCTATGATTCTAAGGTGGATGGAGGAGGTGTCAGTAATTGGTACACGGGTATGTGGGGTGGAGAGACAGTGGGTGAATGGTGGCTGCATAAGCGTAGGGTATGTGGGCAGCATGGTGAGTAATGGGTTTGGGCAGGGACTGGAGAAAGAAGGGAAGAACAGAGTGATGGAAGGAAAGTGAGATTGAGGGGACAGTTAGAAAAGAGAAATTGGGGTAGTGAAGAGGAAGGGGAAAAGGAAAGAGAAAGATGAGACAAGAAAAAAGATTGAAGGGAAGGAGAGACTCCCATGAAATAATGTGGGGAAGAGGTGAGGAAGGGAAACAAGGGAAAAATTAATCTGAATGGAAAAAAATCTGACAAAATTAGAGGATATAAAAGATACTAGCATTCTGGAGAGAAAACAGAACATAGAAATGAAGGGGCAGAAAGAGGAAAGTAAAGGACAAAGGCTGCAGGGTGGATTGCTTTAAACCAAATGGAAAGCCTCAATTTAAATAATCTATTTTAATCAACCTCTGTTATTTTCTAAAGAAAGGTGCATTATTATTGGTTGATATAACCATTAAAACATGTTGATTTACAAATAAATAGAGCACTAGATTAGGTACATCTTTTTGCTACCTAAGATTCAGATTTGTTTTAATTGTACATTTTAGTATGTTAGAAAATGGTGACTATATTGGTTATTTGCTAGATAATTAACTTTTGCTCAGTACTTATGTCAAGCTGCATTAGGATGGAAACTGTAATTGGACTAAATACACAAACATCATATAAAATTTATTTTTATTAAACAAAACAACTTTAAATGTTTTGAATATATAAACTTCTCTTATCAAAATATGTTTCACATTACAAGTAAATAAATTTATTAAAGGAATTGAAGCGTCAACTGTAATCAGTGAATTAAACTGATTATTTCAGGTCAGCCTGGGGAAATGTTCAAATATGCCTATGTGAAAGTGACTGGTGCTTAAGTTCCTACTCACCTAAGTCTCTTGAAAATAAGAGTCT